CCACTTCCTGGCTGGCGAGGGCCAATCTCGGGGGGGGCGGGGGGCGGGATGTGCTCCCCCACCCCCCATGCCCCTCCTACGCATTGCCTATGTCTGGATCAATCTGGAGGAGTGCAAGGAACTGGGGCTGTTGTCCTGCAAGGAAGAACCAGAAGGGTTCCCACCACAGAACGCCACTTTTTTTCAATCAGCTGATTGACGGGATTGGAGTGAAGAATAGGGGGCATACTTCTGGGGTGACTGCCAGTTGCAGCAGCTGCTGCTTTTCAGCAGCTTCCTACAGCCGTTTGACAGCTGGCCCCCTTCCCAGGCAGGGGAGAGGACAGGCTGTCAATGGGCTCCCCTGAACTCAGGAGTCATTTGGAGACAAGCCCTCTAGTGCCCCCTGGCTATGAAGCTCTCCAGCCATGGGGCTGGAAGAATGTCTGTACAGTCCAGCTCCCAGGCTGTTTTTGTACCAGAAGAAATTCTTCTAGTTATTTTTCTACCAGAATAAATTCTTGTGGTACAAATGCATGTTTGAATGCAACCTAAGTCTAAACATTGCTCTTAGAGGTCAAAGCCTGACAATGTTGTAGACTACATGGTATGCAACATTGCCAGTAGAAAGCATCTTACATTTGTACTGTAATGCAATTTCTGGAGAAGACTAAAGTTGTTGGTTTTAAACAATAATTTAATGCCTTAAGTAAATGTGACATGGCAGCTGCAATCAGCTGATGTAGCTGTGCTAAAAGCCCCCTCGTTTAACTGTAAGGAAGTATATTTTGATTAAGTGAGAATTTGTTGTGGGCACTTTGATAAATGCCTTCACTTGCCTCTTCCTTTCTCTGGAAAGAAAATCTGCCTAATGATTGTTTCTGTGGCAGTATTTGCAGAAATAATCCTTAAAAGTTAAGTGGCTAGATCCCATGAATTATAATTATGGGAGAGTATATTCTGGGATTTCACCCAGGTTCTACTCTTTCTTATCTGATTGGATAACTGAAAAGTCAGTTTTCCAGAGCACTTCAGTTTTTGTTCTTCTTAGCATATGTAGTTTAGCAGCAGCATATATTATCCATCTGATTATTTGGTGTCTATTCTTTTATTTCCTCCACAACTCCCGCCATCTCCAGCAATTTGCTCCTTTTCTCAATGTCACTGTTTTAACAAAATGATAAGTCTAAACTGGGTTACTTACTGAAGTTAACAAGAGCAAGTTCAGGTCCATGGAGAATTTTATTAAAAGTGTAATAACATTTATCTGCTTGTCTTCAACTTACCTTGCCAAGCAGCCCTTTGTCTTTGGACAAGAAGCCACCACTGTTTTTCACTGCTACATCTAGTGTTCTCCTCTGTACTTCAGGAAAGGAAACACTGAAATCGAAGCTAACATGAAAAATATCGATATAGATAGAATTTGGTACCTGAAATGTGCAAAATCTTCTGGACTTTCCTGGTTCAGTTTCTACTAATAAACACCCACTGCTGACCTATTCCTAGAAACCATTTTTTACCATCCCAAAATAAAAGCACACAAATGGGCATGTGGTAAAAGAGAGAAGATAATCCCTATACTTCGATGCTCAATTAAAATGTTTGGTATTGTGTGATGCTGTCCCAGACCATTTCCAGAGAATCCACTGCTAATAAATGGATCATGGGCTGGCCTTTTTGGGGCAAATAAAAAATAGACTTCTATTCTCTAGGTTGAAGCACTGTTAAACATTTTGTTAACAGGACTTGGTACTGCTACCAGCAGATCTGTCATTCTCTCATCCATGGTAGTGCACATACAATGTCCCCATAGAGATTCTCAAATCCTGCCATATTGCACAGAAGAATGCAACTTTTCCCTCTGCTTCTGGAACCATCTGTACTAATGGAGAGTAGGGGCAGAATCTGTCCTATAATGGCCATACAGGTACATTTACAAATTTGTCACTGTAATGACAACTTCTGATTCGCTACTTTGCCCTCTCAGGCAAGAAAACTCAAATGTCACCTGTGGTAAGGAGGATAAAGATGTGGGTCTCACGGAAATCAAACATGTATTATAAAACCAGCCTATTGGCCACTTTTACATGTGCTCTGGGGGCGAGGGAGGGGCGGTGCTTTTAAAGCACCACAGCGTCTTGTGTAACAGTAAACCCACACTTGAAAATGGTGGTGGGGGTGCTTGAACAAAAACTCATCAAATGTTCGACGAGCTTTAGCTCAAGTGCCCCCGCCACCATTTTTAAGCATGGGGATGCTAACATGTGAGACGCAGGAGGCTGCTGGAGTGTGATAATTACCATGCTCCAGCAGGCTTGATTAATCGAGTCTGCTTTAACACACTGTAATTACAGTGCATTAGAGCAGTCTCTGTGCTCATGTACAGGCACTAATTATGTTTTCCTTGTTTATGTGTAAAATCAGGGCTCTGGTAGAGTCATTTTAACCCCCTTTGCTAACATATTATAGGGAGACCAGATGTCCACCCTTCTCTGCCACTCTACCCCCTCAACCCCCAATGGGACATACAGCCTCCTGAACTGGCTGTAGACAATGGCAGACACCCAGCATTTCCCTCTGTGGTAGCAAACCCTCCTGAGGGCTGAGCTACTAAGACTTAAGTCACTAGATGAAGGTCACTTGTATGAAGAATACCACCTGGGGCACTTTGTCAAGGACAGCACTAAGGAGGGAAGACTTGGTTTCCACATTGCCTCTATAAAGTCAGAAGTATTACTAGCTGAATAGAAAATGAAGCCTTGCAAGAACCGCATCATTTTGCAAGGCTCTTTCACCTCCGAACTGTTGCATTAACAACTATGTTCATTTTATCACAGACTGAAAATAGAAGAAAAGATGCTCTTTAATATCCTCAGCCTAGAGCTACCCTATACTTCTCAAGGAGCCCACACGTAACCTCAATTTTCTTTGTCTTTTCGCGATTTACTGTTTATAGGTTTAAAGATGTGCATGTCCCACCGGTCATAAATGGTTATGTCTGGGATGAGGCATAGTCATAGAATAGTTAAGACATTTTGCTATGGCTCCAGAGAGGCGTGTTCAAGCCCTGTTGGGACTCACACAGAAGACTACTTATGCCCAGTTAGTTTTCAAGCTGGGATGTCAAATGCAGCCACACATGAAGGTAGGCAACAGCACACAAGTTAATGGTGCATCTCGATCACATTATCCCCAGGGGCTTCTAGGATTCAGTCCGTTGTTGCCTGAAATCCTTCATTGCACTGCCACTTACAATTGATATACAAGTGTACAAGTCCATCACTCTGTTTAGTCCATTACTGTTTAGTAAAGTGGAAGCACATTTATAGCATTATTTTATTTGTAAGTCTGCAAAGTATTCTATCTAGATGCAATATACAGGAACAGCTTGTTATGCTATTCCTATATTCTCAAAATGATTATTATCAAAAAGTTGCCCATGTTCTCAAAAAGTTCTCAAAAGAGCTATATTCTCAAAAAGTTTGTTTTAAATATGTATCTATTTTAACACAAAATCACTTAACGAGCACATTTGTCAGTCATCAAAAAAGCCAGAATACACAATTAAATTGTTTACAGTTCAAGTGAAGTCAAATAAGAAATTCAAACTGACAGTATGCAGAAGAAGTTTTAGATAAAATTAATATTAATTTATATCAATGCCAATATTTACAGAGGTTCCAGATGTTCCCAACACCTTTGTAAAACTGGGGCCCATAATCTAATCAAAACCATCAGATACTGCCTATATTAGGAGGCTGTTAGCAACACTGGATTGACTCTAGAGATATTGTGAATATTGTAAGCTCTCCTTGAAAACTAAACTGCAGCAAATACTTCAACAAATATGTTAACTGGAATTCCTCTTGGCACGAATAGATGACACTGTTTCAAAGGCACAGTTACCACCCACCTAGAGTTGCCAATCTTATTATTACTGGAAATAAGTTGGCTAGCAGCAAGGCACATTTCTGAAAGCTTTTGCTTCCTTGAATAGGGCATTAGGTATCATATGCCATATCTACACTCCTGTTTCCATCAGATCCTACTGGCAAAACTCTTCCAATGGAGAAACAAGCAGGCCAAATTCTGTAATTTTTGTAATACAGAGTAAAGAGATTACAATTTGCCTTCTCATTTGAAAATTGCCCGCATATCCCAAGTTCATGCATTGGAAGTTTAATAGCTTTATATATTACATAATGTAATACTAGTAAATGGAAACTTTTAACATACGTTTGATCGAACACTGGATTTAATGTCTTCTTTGATACATGTGTTTTTCGTCTTCCCGATCTTCTCTTATCAGGCAGTAAGTACAATCGTACATAGGGGTCTGATCCCTCCTCTGAAAAGGCGATTAGATTTCTGTGGCCAAAAAAAAAAAAAAAAAAAAAAAAAGAAATTCTCACCAAAAAGGAAAAATAGTAGAAAATAAATAAGAGATTGTTAAATAAGAAAAAACAGTGCATTTGCCTCCTATTTATATATATTCGTGTCTGTCTTGCATCTTCATCTTTCTTTTTGTCAAATCAAGAAAGAGATACTGCTAGGTTGTCCCAGCACTAAGTGAGGATATGAGATGGTATACATATTTTAATTCTGTCATTATTAGGAAGAGGAATTGTTTAGGGACAGTCAAAGGTGATATATATAGGAATGGGGCTGTGAAACTGAGTAACACCTAAAGAGTTTATACTGTGGAAAAACTCTCTTAAAAGATGCGGTAAAGCCTCAACATGAGAGATTTCATAGGAACACTGAAAAGGAGGGCTGGGAAAAGACCTCAGGAGGTCAAGTCCAGCCCCCTGCTCCAAACAAAATCACCCCAACTAAACCATGCAGTCAAGTGTCTGTTTAACCTGATCTTAAAAATGTCAAAAGATGGAGATTCCACAACTTCTTTAGGCAGCCTGTTCCAATGCTTAACCACCTTCATAGTCGGAAAGTTCTTCCTACTCTCCAACCTAAATTTCCTCTGCTGCAGCTTGAGAACATTGCTCCTAGTCCTGTCCCTTATGGCCACAGAGAATAGTCTATCTCTATCCTCTCTTTAATCATCCTTCAGGTATTTGAAGATTTATGAAATCCCTATCAGTCTTCTCTTCTCTAAACTAAACTATCCTAGTTCTTTCAGCCTGTCTTCATAAGTCATGTTTTCTAGGCCAGAGACATTTTTGTTGCTCTCCCTGGACTATTTCTAACCTGTTCACATCCTTCTTGAAGTGTGGAGCCCAAAACTGGAAACAGTACTCCAGATGATGACTCTCCAGTGCTGAATACAGCTGATGAATCAGTTCCCTTGATTTTCAAGTGACAATCCTGTTAGTACCATCCAGTATGCTATTGGCTTTTTATATTTTTTTGCAACAAGAGCACAGCTAATATTCAGCTTATGGTCCAGTGCAACTCCCAGGTCCACCTCTGCAGTACTGCAACCTAGCCAGTCATTTCTTAGCCTGTACTTGTGCATTCAGTTATTCCGTTCCAAGTGCAGGACTTGGCATGTGTCCTTGCTGAATTTCATGTGATTAATTTCAAAGCATTTCTCCAGTTTATCCAGGTCACTCTGGATCCTAGCCTTACCCTTCAAACTGGGTTGGACAAAAAAAATTAACAAAATACTGACTCAGAAAAAATCCTCTATTTAGAGGTAGCTTTTAAACGATGACTTAAGCTCAACTCCCCAGTTCACGGATGGAACTAGCATTGTGATTTGGTAATCGATAGCTAAATAAGGTTCACACAGATACGAAGGATGAAATGAGTTATATTTGTGATGTTTAAGAGCTGAAAAAGTGCTGTTCTCTGGCTACCAACTCCAGTGGTATTAACTTGCTGAACTACATCAACACTTTTCTGACACGTGACAGTTAGCCACAATTGTTTATTAGAGGGTCCTGTTGTGGCAGGTTCTGTGTAAACTAAAATACATATAACCTACAATATAATGAGACAAGACAGAAGTTGGGAAAGGAAAGGTGAGATGAGGTGATTTACAAAATGTCATACAGAAGGTAAATGGTAGACAGAGCTGGAAGCACCTTTGGTTCTTGAACCCAGTCCACAGCCATATTCCTTAGATGTACTGCTTCCCAAAAACTGCACAGCAACTCTTTCATGTAACTTTCAGGCATTGCTGATATCCAGACATTGCTGTTAAACTATAATTAGTTAGGCAATATCCAAATAGCGATCCAAATAGAGATTTGGTTACTTAACTGTTGTTTTTTTTTAACTGATAAAAACTTTTTTGGCATTTGCAAATTACTGTGGTACAACATGTGATTTAAAAAAAAAAAAAAAAAATCAAAAGGTGCTTTGGCCAACAGCTGAGTAAGTCTGCAGAGAGACATGTACAAAGATGCAGTTTGGTTTCCTATGCTCACCTGCAAGAAAGTACCACCACCATTAGTTTGTTTCTTTGTGAGCTATGACGAATTGTTAGCTGAATCTGCCCTAGTGGAGACTGTCCCAAAGTTGTCCCGCTGCAAGTAGAAACAGAACATTCCAGTCAATATCTGAATATATACAAAAGAACAGATTACATGAATTATACATGCAGATCCATGTCACTGATGCCATGCCGATTTATTTCATTTTTTTGTTAGGCAGAGCTTTCTAAGGATGCATATGCAAGAAATGCAGCTCTAAGGGAAAGAATGAAGAGCATAATTAGCCTAAAAATTGCACCAGTGCTCTGCCGTTAGGTTTCCATTATTCGTTTGACTGCCATTTTCATCCATCCAGGAAGAGCACACACCAACTGCTGAAACTTCCTTAGCCTGACGAAGGGTTTTTGAACCCGAAAGCTTGCTTAATAAATATTCTCCAACTATTTGGGTTGGTCTAATAAAAGATATCAAATTCACCCAAGGAACCTTGTCTGCCTATTTTCATCCTGATACATTTTACCTTGCTTATAAACTTTGCTGTCAAAAAGAAGGAGGAAGTACTCATGATAGTTCTGAACACCTGATGTTCTCCAAAAAGACTTTGAAAAAAAATCACCACGTATGAATTCATTTTCCTGAAGAGGAAAACTGAAGCAGCATTAACACAACTGATGAGAATAGAGCAAGACTATATTCAGGATCACAATAAGAGAGCAATTTTAGTGGCACAGAATCAATTAAGTGACACAGCAGGATGTAGAGCTGATGGTTGAATCCAGCTGAAAAAGAAACTAGATAAATTCATGGAGGAAAGGTCTATCAGAAGGTTTTGAACATGATAGATAGGGTGCAGCCTTTGAATCAGAACTGAATGCCTGAAGTTGCTGTGGGAGAGGAGCAAGGGGTGTCCTGTTTCCCCTCCTCTTGAACATCCGTCCATTCTCCACCACTGTTAAAGACAGGACACACTAGGCTAGATGGACCTATGGTCTGACTCAGCAAATAGCAGTTCCTATGTTGATTTTAGTTTTCATCTCTAAATTCTATAATAATACCAGTAAAAACCCTCCCTAGTGATAAATAACAAACAGAAACTGACACCAGGTTGTACTCTTCCTACTTGTAATTTACAGCTGGATATATGTTAAGCTTCTAAACCAGAGGTAGGCAAAGTTCAGTGGATTCCATTTCCCAGCAGCTCTGCACGCCCAGGGAAGGGGTATGTAGGCAACAGATCGCAGATCTGCCCCCGCTCCAGACCATACTGTCAACACTGCAAGATCCCAGGCCTGGCTGTGGAGCAACTCTTCACCCAGCTGCACACCCTGCCAGCACTGCTGCAGCTGGTCGCCATGGAAACACTGGCCCCACCTGTCATGGCATGGCTGCTGAGGTCTCCATGGAAATCAGCTGTAGCAATGTAGGCAGGGGCTGCTGGGAAATGCAGGCAGGGGCTGCTGAAATCCAGCCACTGGCCAGATCTGCCATTTTGCCCACTCCTGTTCTAAGCTAATTTGATTTTAAATGCTCCTGCCATTTCATTTTAAATGCTAAACAAGCATGTGGCACTAACATAGTCCTTTTTGCTCTGCTTGTTTAAGAAGAAAGTTCTGACTGATTGTGCGTTAAAGGTATAAGGTTCAAATTTACTTTTATGTACATAACTTCTTTATGTACATAAGGTCATATTTAATTAAAAGGAATGTAGCATGTTTATTTGAATGCTTCATACCTGAGGGAGTGGTAACTTGGCAGAGCTTCAGATGAATATACTGCATGTTCAACACTCCTGAATCTATAACACCTCTATACATAACTTTCTATTCATGTCAACTATGCATTGTGCAACTGTACATAAAAATGCCTCTGCTTACTTAAGATTATACATACAGCACATCTGAAATGTTAAATAACTTCTGAGTTATCTAGGAAATATCTTCAGTAGAATGAAAAAAAAACAGACTTATTTTTCTTGCACAGTTTACATAGAAGTGACTACACACAAGACTCCACTAAGGTTCCCAAACAATTCAAACTGGAACACAAACACAAGAAACTTCACTTCCATTTTTTGGAATAATAAATTGGAAGCAAACCAAAACACGGGTTTGCAAAAAATGCTTCATCAGGCATAAACTTGTCAGTGGGATCAAAATATGGCACTGTATTTTACCCTGTCTTAAATAATAAGCTGTCTTTATTTAAACAGTTGAACTAAAAGCTGATACAAAAATACTGGGTTAGTTCACACAATGAAAAAAAAGGTTAATTTAAAAAAAGTTCCTACAAACTACAAAGATGAATGAGCAGGTATAAATTTCCACAGTAGCACAGCACCAGCCCTGTGTATCGACTTAGAGGGGACACAAAACTGGTGGCCACTACCATCCCATCATGCTCCTACTCTGGGTGCAAAGGCTGCTTGTTATGTATCTGGGTTGTCATCCTTCTATGTATTACAGAATGGCTGCAGCACTGTCTTTACTGAAAAGTACTACTTCTTTGCAGCAACATAAAAATGAATGAATAATAATAATAATTAAAATACCCAAGAGAGAAATCTAAACAACAACCAAGGCCTGTTTCAGTGATCCTAATTAATCAAAAGGGAATTAATTATTCACATAACATTCTTCAGTTGTCATCCCTCTGGGCAACTCTAAAACCAGTTACGTTGAGCCTATCTGCTTTCATGACATTAATGCCAGTAGGCTCCAGAGGGGTCAGCAATTCACCACTCTGTAATGGACTGATATCATACTGACCAAAAACATGGTTTTGCTTCTCGTAACACTCCCTAGCTAATAAGAGATGAAGCTGGACTTCATTTTATCTTGTACATCAACAAAAACTGTCAGGTAAGTTCTACTTGCAGAATCTTTCTTACTAAGAAGTTATGAAGCAAAAAGCACAGAGACTGATTTTTTTATAAACTAGAGTTGAGTTTGCAGTACTAAGCCATTACAGAAATGATTTCTGAACTGCAAATGGAGCAGGTTTTTTGTTTGTTTGTTTGTTTTGCTTTTTAAAATACTGCTGCTAACGTTTTCAGATGCAATGAAAAAAACAAGTTTGTAAGATCCTACTTTTCAAGTTGTCGTAGTCTTTGCCGTAGTTCCTGTGTGGCAATGGGCAGCGATATGTCTGAGGCTATACTTGGAGTTGGTTCTTTGACTGAGAAGTGGCTGGGAGAAGAGGTGAAGTTGGAGACATGGAGACTGGAGGAACTTCGGCTGAGATCTGTTGGCCACTGGGGACTGGCATTAGGAGTTCGGCTTTTTTCACCCATATCAGTTTTTTTATCGCTGTCAATCACTGGGGAAGCTTGGACAGGCTTATTTGAATCAGCTGGTGGAGAAACAGGGACCTGAGGCTTAAAAGAAGATTTTCTTGTGTCTTTGGAAACAGAAGGCCTCTTTACTTGGGCTGAGTGTTGGTGATCTGGAGATCTCTCCTGCTTTTCAAGAGAAAGTACCTAGATAGTAAAAATATACATAACATTAAAGATCTACCATGGTACAGAACACAGGAAATAAAGACTTTTTATATTAGATTTTTGGTAAGATATACTGTATTTACTCAAATATAACACAATCCCTCCAATGATTAGATTCTATATATGGAAAATTCATAAATTTCTTATAGTTTTCCAGGCATTAAATCTAATTGTTGGAGGTTTGCCTTGAAGCCTCCCTCCCACTGCTAGAACAGGGGAAATAAATTTTGGGGAATCAGATAGCAGCTTTGCCTTATCCCCACAACTTATTCCACCTACAGCTCCTTTCCCCCACCCCACCCCCCACCAGACCCTGCTCTCCTTGAGCACGTGGAAGTTAGGGGCCAATTTGAAAACACTGATTTTGAAATAAACATGCCTAAAGTAATTTGCATATAGGCAAGTTACTATGGGTACCCATAGACTTAGGTGATTCAGAATTGATTAATTCTACCTTCTTTGAAACTACTGCAAATTGTAGCACAGGTACTCCATAAACATGCTTTAAGGTAGTGCTTTAGCACCTACTTAGAGAACAAGTACAAACTATACATGATGCTAGTCCAAAGTCAAATGGCTCATGATTTACCATATAGTTCACTGGGCTGGGCCTCAGAGTCAACAGCATTTTAAGCCAGTGACCCCATGGCTCAGCATTGCTCAGTATGTGTGTATACTCCAGATACCCCCCACAAAGGACCCATGTGCTAATTGCTGCCCCCCACACTCATGCCTGGAACCAGATGTTCTTGTCATGAGTCCTGTGTTTCTCCAAAAAATTATATTCTATACTCTAAAATTATATTAGATAAGGCACAGGGCAACCTGGTTTGGCTCCACACTAATCATAAGTGATAGGCTGAGAGGAGGGGGGGCATCAGAAGAATTCTGGGAGAACTGTTTGGGGCCCTGTTTCATGATGTTTGCCAGACATTTAAGGCTGGTAAAGAAACAGGAATCATTGGAAATGGGAAAGAAAGGCACAACTCAGCTGTGGGAGTGAAGAGGAAGTAAAAATGTATTCAGTGTAGTGGCTCATCATGACCTGAGTCAATGCTAAGGGGGACTGAGCACAATGGGCACTACCATATATCTTATTCAGATGGGCTGCAGTAACCTATCTTTGTACGCTGCTACTTGACAACAGCCCCAAAAGGCCCTGCCAACAGCTGGGAGGGAGGAAAGAGAGTGGGGAGGGGAGGGAGGACGATGCGGACCAGGCAGACCCGGATCGCGGGGTGGGGAACAAGCCCAGACCCAAAGTGGAGGTAGAGTGGGAATGGGCCTGGACTCTGGGGGGGAAGCAATGCCAGACCCGCAATGTGGGGGGGGAGGGGAAGGTGGCTGGACACAGGCCTCTGTCCACGCCCCTGCCCCCTTGTCATTCTTGACGGGGAAATTGGCTAGTCTAATATATTAAAAGTCTTAGTCTGTCTTAACGCTTTATTTGCACTCTGATTGGTTGTCTTGGCAGCCAATCACAATGCCAACTGAAACAACCAATCAGAGTGCTCCAAGAGTGTTCTGGACAGGAGGCCACGGTGGAACACTGCCACGATGGTGGGGATGGAGGGGACACTGCTGGCCTCCCCCCCCCCCCCCCCCCCGTGGGGCACCGCTCTGCCCCCCCCCCGAGGTGGTGGCAGCATGGGGTGCTGGCCAAGGTGGATGGAGGGGATGGCAGGGCAAGCTCCCCCCCATTCCTGGGAGGCAGCGGTGGCATGGGGTGGTACGTGGCTGCACTCCGTCCCTACCCATCATTCCTGATGGGCAATTGGCTAGTATAACTATATATATCTACATTTATGTATTATTTTTTTTCAAAAAAGTTTGTACAGTTACAGAAGAAATAAATATTTTTGCAAAAAAAAAGCATGCTTGCCCAATATGGGCCATTTGCTTTATGGACATGCACAGTTTTTACTGCCTTTAATCAACTTCATATTTGGTTTCCATTACTGAGCACATGCTGCTTTTGGCAGCAGTTTAATGTAATGTAGTTTGAGGAACTCCCCTCTCTTCCCCCCACCCCCCATGGTGACTGGGGGAAAAAAGCTTGTCTTATAGTCAAGTAAATACAGTAGCGAACAAAGACAGAAAAGTATATCATAAAATGAGTCTTGTTAATAGAATGAATGAACAAAACCTTTCGTATTGAAAAGTACAACCTCCAAACCTCTGTGGAAACTGGTTTGAAACTAATAAACCATCAAATATTCACTTTATTCCTTTACTTAGCCTTTTTATCAACACTAGCCAAACCAGAGAAAAAGATCATGAAGATGGAAATGCTATCTACTTTTCCACTCTATCTAGGAAGCCTTCTCTTAGCTTTCATCCTCATGTCTTTGAAATCTTATCAGAATTTCTCCTCGTCTACCTTCCAATTTCTCTTTAAGCAAAATGCCTTAAGTCATTATGATTCATTTGCAGCAAAACTGATTTTTATCCCTGTTGTTTATATTTAATTCAGCATAGTGTTTTGAGCATATAGTATATATAAAAGATATGACGCATAATAAAAGTCGTCACTTTCCTGAATAGTAGTCTACTGTTACTTATGCATCTAGCAAGGATAATTTCCAATTCAGCATGTCTCGTAAGAGGGAGTTCCCTAATATAAATCTGAAAGCACATTTACCCACCTGTTTTCACCTTTCTCTTGAAGACACTTTTTAAATCCCATTGACACGTCATAGTAAAACCACAAAGTACACTTCTAATGCAACTTTTATTTTACTTCAGCAACACTGTTGCCTGCTATCCTGTAACATTCAAGAATATCAAGCAGCACAATACTTAAGAAAGGTCTGTTGTCCTCTTTTTAAAGCCAAAAATAAAACACTAGAGTAAGTGTCAAACATGCTTCCTCAAAACTCTTAACCATATATAAATTAAAGGAGAAAAATTATAATACCCTGAGTGCAATCTTCATGTTTATAGTGCTGTTTGGACCAGAATTGTTCAGATGGAACCGCTGATGCATAGTTAGATCTTCCCTTTCGAGCAGCTGGGTTAGAGGAAGCTTGAAATTTCCCAAGGAGCACTGATGCTGTTCATCCTTGACCTACAAGCAATATAGATGAAGTTATACTTAGCTTTATAAAAATACTCAAAAAAACCAAGAACGCTGTGGTTTTATTGCAACGTTTTTACCAAGTTCAGATACAGTTTATTCTTAACCCAAATTTAACTGGCTCAACAATTATAGGTGTGCCTCTGGAACAAGAATCAGCAAAGAACTGCACTAGTTTGATATCCATACCCTTTAGTTACTACTTTCATTAGAAGATAAAAGTATTCTAACACAAGGCAGAAAAACAATCATAGTTGTGTCTAACTGGGCTCCCATAAGCAAAGAATTCTCACAACAATCAGGGAACAACATTAACCAAACTAGTCTTTAATTACTCTATTTCCCTTCATTGCCCAAAAATATGTAATAATTGGATAGAGTAGGGCACATCAGGTTGGATGAAGATACGGGAGATATGCATATGCTAAAGGAAAAAAAATGTAGCTTTTATAAGTTAATGGTTGAAAAAGCAGCTTGTTAAGGCTCAAACAGTTGTTTCAAAAATATTAATTTCCAACATAAAAATGTGAGCCATCAGCAGACAGTTGTGGCAGCAAATATCAGTTACAAACACTTCTTTCTCCCTTCCCGGCTGTGGATGCTATTGTAGAAATACACTAGCAAGAAAATATGCATGAGAATGAGGTATGTTTACCTCTACTTCAAGTTCTTGCCGTCTGGGATTGTGGATAAAGAAAGTGAAGTGTTCCTCCCATACAGGTTCATTGGTCTTGTATCGAATCTGAAGAGGAAAATAACTAAGTAAAATGCATTTCTGTTAAAGTTGGCATCAAATGTGCACTCATATTACACAGATAGTTTGTACAGTTCATGTTTTGAATGTGACTGACTAAAAAAAGGTCCAGATAGGTTTACTACAAGGCACATATGGTACAATATGGGAATTAATATATATTTAATAAATAAAATTAGTTTTAGAAGTAAAGTGGAGTAGGAATTTCACATAGTTTTGGTGAACCATATTGTGTGAAGTACAATTCCAGCTACTTAGCTTCTAACCTTTTATGGTGCTGACCTATGAAAAAATAACCTTATTGTAAGGTTCCAGGCTGCGTATAGTACATACTCACATAAACCCTGGCCTATCTGCAACTAACCAGCAATTGATTTAAGATAGACAAGACTTTAAACAGATGTTTAATTTTAACTTGTATTAGGTTCAAACTATTGACAAAGACCAAGGCTTTCATATATAATACATCAGGCACCACATATGTGGGGTAGTTTTAAGTACTCAGAGTGATAGCTTACCTTACTTTCCTGTGCGTTGTGTCCGACTGATAATAAGACAAGTGGATTGGGATTGCTGTTTATTTTTTTTCCTGACTGATAAAGAGAAAGTGTAAATTTTATTGTTAAAATAGGCTATTGCATTTCCCTCTACTTAAATGCAAGAATTTAACACCTCTTGCTCTTGGATATTTTTTTTTAATTGTCAAATTTTGAATGCACTCTGTCATCTGTATCTCTGCTACTTTCCCTAATTTTTAGTGGCTTGAAGATATTTACACAGGCAGAAATTTTTTAGCTGATTAACACATTCATGATATGAACTCCCACAACAACTGACAGGTTAGTTTAAAGCAGAGTACTACAAACATTGGAGTTTTAGACTCCTTCCATTTCTTTGAATGAAACTGTTGGAAAAGTGCAATCTCTCACACTTTAATAAACATTACAGTCCCCAAAAGCTGATGGAGCATCATCAGTACTGCAAAATGAATGTTGCGGTCTGCATGCAGATGGGAGACATGGAGAAAGCACAAACTCAGGATGCTTAATTTGTTCACAAAGAAATATTATTATTAAACTAGGTGCAATACCAAATCATCCATAATTCTCCTTGTCAATGGGGAAACAGAAAGATGCACACTGTAATGTACCTGATGTATATTTTTATAGTTTACCAAATACTCTTTATTAGAGAATCAACCATCTGTCATATCTAAGCCTTGCTCACCAGCTGTATAGCATTAGACCAAACTGTAAAAATAAACATTGATTTAGAATAAAGCTACTACATAAAAGTAAAACATTTCTTCCCATGTTTTCTAGAACACATTTTATATTGGCCTATACAAGCCAAAAAGCAAAGATAGACATGAAAGTTAATCACCTCAAGCACCTGTTAATGTAATTTAGAAGATTTAGAAGTACAGCATACATGGTTAATGTATTTTGAATGTTACCCCATAGGAGATTAATTAGACAAATTAAAAAGAAAAGTTAGCTGAACCCCAAGCATGTAAGGCCACCAAAATGAAATGAATGAATGACTAGGCTCATTTTACATTTTTAAATAAATCATTAAGAAATAGTTCATGATTGATAGCTCTCTAAAGCTACAAAATGTATCTTTCTAAATGTAACAGTTCACTTGATGTGATCTGATTTTTAGTGGTAAGAGAACACTCCTTCCTTGGACGCTGATGCATTTCTTTTTTAAACTCAAAGCATTTTAGCTCCATCCAAATCAGCTGAGGCATGCATTTTTTAGGGAATAACAGGATAATAAATTCAAGAATGTCACTGGAAGATTAGAATAAGATTTCTTTTGAACCTGTTTCACAAAATGTTGCCTGAAGTTGTCTTTTCTTCATGAAAAGGAGCAATCTACAGAAATATTAACAAAAAATATCATATTGTGCCTAGTAATCACTGTTTATATTCCTGATGAAAGAAGTGACCCTACATATATTTTCACACAAAATACCTTAGTAATATCTGTCCTTGATAAGATTAAGTTTACTGCTCACAGGACCATTCTGTCTCCAAGTGCTTGTCTTCATAGGGTGGTGAGTATGCAGTAAATTAGGATATGAATTTACAGTGTCCTAGCTACTCCACACAAACTATCCATAGGGACCCTAATGGCACAATAAGTATTATGTAGCTTGCCTCACTTAGAAAGTAGTAAGTATGCCACATTACAAAAAGGCACTCTTCCCTCACAAGAAGAGTTTGGTATAGGGTAGTTATCTACGGTGCTGTAAATTCACACTCGAGCTCTCTGCACAGGAACTTCCCCTTGTGGACAAGCTGGCCAAACAAATTCATAAATTCATAAGCCTCTTTAATTTTGAGCCAATTTTAATGCTCTTCTTAAATTAACCCCCAAGTCCCTGGACTTTCTACACCATTTATCCAAGCACATGGTATCCACAGATGTTTAAATACTTACAACTCAAAGATTTATTTATTTTTTAATAAAAATTGATTCAAGAAAAAGAATACACATTATTTTTAAAAGCTTCTTTCTGTGTAAAAACAGAAGGATATTACAAACCAGATTCATTCAAAATATTTTACAGTGCATTTATACAATAACTTGAAAGTTGAAATGTATCTTTTGAATTGAGAAAATTAATATTTCAGGTTCTGTTTTTAGATCACTATAAAGTTATGGTAACCAGAAGCTGTAGCTTTCAAGTAATAGTGTCAATGTGTACAGTTGTTAACAAGATTAATTCAGGGGGTTCTTATTAATTGGAGCTTAGTTTTCACTACAACTCTTTAACATACCAAGTTTCCAGTTCCACTACTCACAAACATAGTGCTCTTGACCTAGAGCTAGAGTGTTCACCATCTTGTAGAAAGGGGACTGGAAGCTTCCAGGAAAAATATCCAACAGAAAAATTAATCTTTAAACCCAGCTAAATTAATAGACTTTATTGATTACTCATCTAGAGATAGACAGTAAAGTATCATTCAGCATGTAGATGTTTTACTTTCATGTCAGCCTTGATCGTGAAATATACTTTAAGGTAGAATTTAAGATTTTCTAACCTTCTAAAGCAGACTATGTATCATTTACTTAATTTAGAGTCCAAGTTCTTACAGAAAAAATATTCTATTAATGTCTTCACCACATCAGTTACTTCTTGGTGCTCAGAATTGGATACTCTGAAACTAAATACATTAAGAGTGGAAATTCCATTGCTTGTTGGAAGATGTGGAAATTTGTGCATTTCCAATTAACACTGTGACCTTAAAATGGAGAACTATATTAGTTTTACCTTTAGGGCTTTCTGAACAGCAGCCTTCTTCAAGCCATCAGGGTTAAATTCTAATGGATTTTGCTTTTAAGTCAAGAGAGAATGAACATAGGAAGGGTTAATAAGACATGCAATTAAGTTATTTTATGAGGTTAAGTAAGTAATCACATGACAACAAAGAAGAGAAAAAAACCCAAACAAACTAAAAAACCTTTCCAAACAAAATGATAAAGGAATCACTTCCAAAAGGAAGCCTAAGAAAGCTTTTTGTTCTTTTGTCTTCTTCCAGTGCTAATCTGCTTTTAAACAGTCATTTTCAATCCACTGCTCCTGTATAATTTTGGCTTGTTTTGATAAATATATAGGCACCAATGAGTTTTATTGCATGGGTTATATGGTGTGCTGACTGTCCTAAAAGCCTCTTTTTATTGTCCTCCTTTATTATGGGAAGAATATATTTTCTAAAGCATCACACCACAAAACAGAGGAAAAGCAAGTTGGTTGGGTGAGTCATGGAGGTAGTGCTTTTACGGGGAAATCAATCACTTAGGCCAAAATACTGGTAAGACACAGATTAATACAAAATGTAAGTAGTTTTAGTCCCTTTCCTTGTTCATTTTGTTCTTTGCCACCAGACAACTAGCTCACTTACTTTTTGGAATTCAATATACTTACTAGTTTAACTTGAAGATGTACAAAATCTACCAGAGTTTTTGGATGCTTGCCCAGATTTAACAATATAATTACCTTGTCCTCTGACCGTTTTCCATTAACTAAAAAAAAAAATTCCTTATTTTACCTCAGTAACAATTATGTTGAAGGGAAATGCACATATCGCAAACCAGGGAAATTTGCAGTAATTTAGGAATTAAGGGTTTTAAATAAAGGAAACAGAAGCCTAGCAAGTGTGCCATAGCATCCCATTAATTTCCAAGCAGAACTTCCTCCTGATTGCAATGCTGAATTCTGCTGGAAAGTTCAGGAATGTGGCACGTCAGGAACCGGCGCAAGCTGGTTTTCAAATATGCTATACTTGAGACAGAAAGCAATGTTACCAGTACTTTCCACGAAAAAAAACTTTCCAAAATCCAAATGCACAGATGATCCACATTAAAAAAAAATGGCATCAGTCTTTAACTATAAATAAACTATAAAATTATTTTTTTGTTTTAAAGTTGCTAGCCACATCCTAAAGTTAAATGGTACGTACTATAGTATTCCTGGTATTCAAGTACAGGAGTCTGGGTTCCAGTGTGCATAAAACTTTGAAAGAAATTACTGGAGACCAATATAAATCATGATTAAAAGAATTGTGGAGTGTCATGGAAAGAGAAAATATTTAAATTTACAAAATTATCAGGATGATACAAGTGAGTGGTCATAAACACAATCCTCTGAATATATTGTACTCTATCGTCACTCACTCTAAAATCACATTATGTGAGCAACCTAGCAACCTCCAAAGTTATTCTCAAAACTTAAAGAAGTTTTTTGAACCCCTACTTGAGGTACCATGACCATACATGTAAATGTAATATTCCAAAGCATTTTTTCAAAATAACCCTCATAGAACTGTATCTATATTTTCAAGCCCTCCTAATTAAAAACACTTTCACTCCTCCTTGAAGTTTGCCTTTTGCCTGCATACTGTTGGTTCTCAACAGCTCCTGTACCTACCTTCTGTGAAATTATAACATCACAAACCCCTCAATATATTATTCACTATCCATAATATGTTTTGGATCTTATGAACTTTTTCCATTCCTGCATTCTGTTCCAGGAAGCACCAAAGCAGCAACTTTAACTAGGGCAATGCAGAAGTAGAAATAGTGTGACACAGAGGAACCACATTATTTCCATGGTTCATGTTGAAACCCTTGCACCACTGAAATCAATGGCAAAACTTCCATCAACTAAAACATGGTCAGGAACTTATCCCAAATAACCGTGATATCAGCTAACAGCATATATTAAGTGCCTGCATGGAGACTGAAGTTGTCAAAGGCACTATTCTTAATTTAAAAATTATAACACTAGAGATTTTAATAAAAATGAATAAAATCAAAGTGGCTCTTCATGAGCCATGAGTTTCATAAACTAATCAAGCAAATAAATTCAAAAGTTCCAGGTCACTTTGAAGCTCCCAACACGTTTTTCTAGTCTAGTCTCAGTTAACATCAAAAGAGAATTACTCAGATGAATATGTACTAACGTACTAATGAAAATCTTTTCCCATTATTTTCTTTGAACTACAATTACGAACAAGCCATACAGAGGATGCCTTCTCTGGAAAGAAGCATCTTCTGAAGATTTCTACTCTTGAAATGTTACAAAGAAAGAAAGAAAGAAAAAACTCCATAGTGTATCACTAAATATGAACTAAAAGGATTCCGTTAAATTGAACAAAAGTAAGCTTCACTCTAGATCAAACTATTTAAAAGCTGAAGCAAAAAACAAACCTATATAATAACTGATAAAGCCAGACTCTTTTAAATCCTAATAGAATGGAACATCTCCTGGGCCCCAATCATAACCTTGTATCTCTACAATCTTTCCCAAAAGAGAAAAAAAGATATCAAAACACTACAGTAATTGCTATAGCTGAAAAAACTAGTGGCGCATTTATTTTGGTATCTTTCCTCTGACACTGACCAATGCCAATGACTTCCCAGGAAAGTGTAAACTCTTGTTATATGCCACAAATTATTGGAAAACTGTTTTCTTCCTGACCTCAGATATAGGTCAGTTCATATTTTGAAGCATAACTGATTAATAAGTATCCTCTTATAACTCATATCTGTGGTTTCAAGTGTGGTTCCAGAAGCCCTGACAGCATCCTCAGTTGATCTATGGTAGACACTGACCTGGAAATAGCTGCATTAAATGCTACCCATGTTGTACATTATGCAGATTCAAAATTTGAAAAGCAGGTATATTTTTGGTCCTGTGTATATGTCAGCACTCAGCACAGGGCATGTTAACACTACTAAGAAGGCATTTTTGAAAAAAATTCCCCACTAAATACCTTTGGCACCCAAAGCATTTTTTTAAAGGAACTTTGGCTTATAAGTCGCCTACAAGACATAAATTTTCGCAGTGTCTGAAATGGAAATCCTCCCAGGAAGATTTGTCCCAATATGAAGTGACACACAAAGATCCACTAATAAACCACCAAAATGGGGGATTCGCAACAAAATTTAGCCACAGCATTTCCTTTATGGCCAATTTTAAGGTTTATTTATGGCATTTTACAGCAGGGGGATGGCAGCCACAACTGCCTTAAAATTTTAGTGCCAGGAAAACATCCTGCTATAGTATACTGTCACAACCCAAAGTTGTGGGTTTTTTTGTTTGTGTGTGCTTCGGCATCGCTAAATCATGTTCCCGCCAAACTGCAGCTCTTTTGCACGGTGGAGTGTTCTGTTGTAACGGAGAACCCGCGTGCAGGAGCTTTTCCTGCCAGTTCTGTAGCTTTCTTTGCATAGTGCATTTCTTTTGCATTATAGTGATGCACGATGCAAAGGAGTTCCTGCCATCTGTATTTAGATTCGTGCCACATTATTGGCCGGTTCTAAATGTAGGCATACGTGGCGGCTAGCTATTGGCTTGCTAGCCGTACAAAAGGCATGGGTAGTTTCCGCCCAAGTTGGAGAGAAAGAAAGCACGTGGAGTTCGGGAAAGGAGCGTGAAGATCTCTAAGCGCTGCTGATCCATACGAACCCAGCTTTTTCCTTAAGAGGGCAACAGAGGTTTAATTTGTCGAACCCACAGAGCTTCAACAACTCCGGGGGACCTATTTACTGAACCCTCGGAGCCTTAACAACTCCGAGGCACATAACCTCTAGCCTCTCCCCATCGCCGATCGCAGTCCAGACGTATCCCTGTCCTAAGGACCCAATTGTCGAACCCACGGAGTCTTAACAGCTCCGGGGGACCTGGGAACCGAGTAACACTCACGGAGATACAGCTGCTCTGTGGGAACGAATTCTTGAACCCGCGGAGCCTGAATCACTCCGGGGTCAAGGAACCGAGTTTATTAGAGTCCTCCACCGAGAACTCAAGCGGAGCTGTGCCTGGAAAGCTGACCAGCCTACACCGCGACCACCTTGGGTGTAAGTAAATAATTTTTTCAATCAACCATTACGCCTCCGTGACTGATTCTAGCTCGAGCATACCAAACCGCGCCGCGGTTTTTCTCCAGCCCCGTGTACCCGGGCTGCTGGCCACAGCCTGTGTGCACAAAGACGGGCCTGGCTCGCCCCCGGCTCGCACATGGTGATCCAGGTGGGATCAGGAGAGGGCCCGCACATATACATTTACATGTTTGCCCACATAGGACAGGTACTAACTTAATGCGCTGTAATCGGCGCTCCTGCACATTAGTGCACATGAATGATTTTTTAGTGAAGTTAAAGTGCATTAGACTAAACATACTGCACATAAGCGCATTAGCAGGGGTTTTGCACACCACGCTAACAAGAAGTAGAATTAGTTTTCTGCGCATTAAGCATCTCATGTATACATGCCCATAGAGACTTTTAGGCTAGGGACAGAAATTACACAAACTGGTATAAATGATCAGAAACCAGTTCAAATCTGTAACAAAACAGAAGTTCAGTGCACATAAACCACTTTCAAAATGGTCAAAACCAGTTTAAGATAAACCTGGATGGATGTAGTATAAAACTTAACTGATTTAGGTTAAATCAGTTTATTGAACTTCTGTCCCAGATCCGCTCTAGATTCAAATTAACAATTAGATAACTTGGAAGTACTTGCTTATAATTCATAACACTACAATATAACTTAAATTTATGTTAGTGGTATTAAATTTATGTTACTGGTATATAGAACTGACTGCCACAGGAAAACTTTAGCAGAAAGGACACAGCAATTAACTTCTTTCGGTTCATCAATGAGTTTGCTGAGAATTGAACACCAGAAACAGACAGCAGTATTTTAACCCTGAAAGGCTGTAACCTGAAACGTCAGGTTAAAGAGCATATGGCTTACCCCTCAAGTTCAGATTTCCTGATTGTGAAGGCACAGATGACTATCAAGTTATTTGTCCATAGTGTTGTTTATAGTTAAAGACTATTAATTAAACTACAAAATTAAAGACTGTCACCATAGTTTTTTTCTGAACCCTACATACTTCTATGTAAGTAAAAAGTACTGAGTAACCGGTAGAAATAGAAAAGGACCAGGAATTTGCATAACAAAATAAGCTAATGACGTGAAATAGAATTTACAAAGAATTTAAACTTTCAGCAACACAAAGTACTATATACTTTTTATTATGAAATTTGAACAGGTGAGGTGAGGTTGCAAGTGCTCACATGTCATTTAAGAGCAACCATAGGGAGATTGGCTTTAAATAATTTATTACAGCTTAATTTCATTCCCAATACAAGTCAACACTTTAACCACAATATTCTGATATAGCACAATTTTTTTTTCAGTGCAATGAAGCGAAATAAGACCTTAATAACCTACTTATCTTGGGTTTTTATCATTATGTGTAATTTACTTACCCAATATCATGCTGATCTATAAAATTAAAAATCTTTGAAATTGAAAATCTTTGAAAATCTTTAAAATACAATAAAAAGGTAGCACAAAAATAATGCACACTCATTGAAACCATGCAGCAAAACAAAATGCATGCTCCATTATTCTACTAGAGTGAGTGGCTTTAGTAGCACTAATCCACACTCTGGCAGATTAAAAAACATTTATATAAAATAACACCAGAGAACTCACAAATAGTGCTCTATAGAGTGAGGTAGTGTTTTCACAAAAGACTAGTCCTGATGCTCTCCTCTCTTTTAAGTATCCACACCCAAAGCTTCCCTCGTAGATACTCTTAGGCAGATGGAAATGGAAGGAGAAAGCAGAGAGTGATAGCATTGTGGCAGAATGAATGCATAAGCATCTTTGCTACATAGGAAAGTTAAGGAAAACAGTCAAAGGATTCCAGAGCAACTGACAGATATAACAAATATGCACACGTTTGTCACCGTACATTGTTTCATCAATTAATCCAGTTTCTTTAGTGCTGCAAGGCAGGCCTTTAAAAAAATTGTATATTTCAAAGTACATTGTTCTTATACAGCATTCCTCATTTCCTTGGTTTACTCTCTATATCCTATCTTTAGATTTTAACATGAGACAGTCTGACCAAGTAACTGAAAAGGGACAAGTCCTCTATACCAGTTCAGTTACTAGTCTTGGCAGACAGGGTATAAGTGTAAGGTCTTTTTCTCAGCCATGACCCATCTGTCATGGCTGTAAGTGCTTCTAACATGGATTATCCATCACAACAACAGAAATTTAGCTCGAATACCAGCACCCTAAACCTGGAATGTATTGGTAATACTAAGGATATTGGCTGTAAACTAGTTTTTAGGTACCAAAGTAATGATTATGCTACAGGATACTTTAGTGAAAACATTAAACTTAAGAAAAAAAAATCTTAATTTTTCATCTACACCCATTTTTACATTTTTTTTAAAAGGCATAGTTTTAATTTAATCAGCAATACTTCTAGTCTGACTTTCAAATGTTTCACTCCCCATTGAAAAAAATGTGGCTAGAACTAGAGATTCAGTATCCTAACATTTACACCACATTCCACAAGTAAATACGTGCCTAGTTTTTGCCAGCATGAGGATGGACACAACTGGAAGGGTATTTGCTGTTACTGTGTAATTTTAAAGCAGAAAGACACACAAACTTTTTCCTCTCATCTCAGAAAAGACCCATCTAGAGCTTTCAAGAATTTTACTAAATCAGACTAATGGCTAAAACTTGTAAGAGTTTACTTAACAGCTCTATGATGGCTTGGAAATATTCTTGTCTATAGTACCAACAGAAGTATTTTCAGTCTCTCTTTGTGAGGAAATGTATTCACAGCAACTTTTACACTCATCTCTAAGCCCTCTCCCTTTCTGTTTTATCTTTTTTGAAGCGAAACCAGGATTGAACACACATGGAGAGCGTCAGTCAGGGCCTGTTTTCCCACTTAAAATTAAAATTACCTGAACAAATGTGCTATAGTTGCACTCAACCCCCCCCCCCCCCAAAAAAAAAACACCCTGATAACATTCCAGTACCAAAGAACCCAGCTTTCCTACTGTATTACTCCTTAAGACTTTACTCCATGGTGCCACAGATAAATGCTACCAGAAAAAATATAAACAATGTGAATTTAGGAAAAGAGCACCAGATTAGGACCTAAAAATCCTGAGCTCTATTCCCAGCAATGTCTCTGGCCTGCTGGCTGACTTGGGGCAGATAATTTCCCCTTTCTGTGCCTCAGGCCACGGACAGACATAACAATCATACCAGTATCAAACTGTTCCAATATAACTGTAAAGTCTGCATGCTGCTATCATGATATGCAAGACAAAACCTGTGGGACTTCAACACAGTTTCATTCAGGGTTAAATTTATAGTGATTTATACCTATATAGAAGCACCCAGACTTAGTTATATAGGAATAGCTGACATACGCTCCTGTGAGAACTATTAATCAAGTGTTAGATACTATTATTATTATTATTATTATTATTATTATACAGTCAGATGAAAATATTGCTCCAAAAAGTGGGCAGATCTCAAGCCTCTACTGATGTTTAATAATTAAAAAAAAAAATAAAGACTTTAAATTTATCTGATCTTTCTGAGGGAAATCAGACTGAATTAAAGGGTCCTGCTACACATTCAAATTAAAGCTGGATAGAAACCAGCTACAGAGTTATTTCACATTTTCAAGCACTAAGTTTGTAGCTGGCTGGTTCTTTTTATAGCTGGATAGTCATTTTTATCATGTGATAATTACTTTACATGTGTGGCTGATCTCAATTTACTGCATTATTAACTATTTAATTGCATAATATATTATGTAGTATGTAGCAGGGGCCACAGATTTACATGAAACAGGAATATGAAGAAGGCAAAGATGACAATCTCTAATAGCATCTGTTTACTTGCTGAAGAAGGTACACTATTATGGAGAATTAGGGCTCTATGGAAGAGGGAAACAGAAAAATCTAAACACCTAATTTTAGTGAACATATTTTGTTGCATTTTGCAGATTTTTTTAAACTGAAAGATTTGCTTAATTACTGTAAAACCAAGTATTTGAGCAATTTTACAGGAAGGTCAGTACAATTTACTGAGAGCAAACTAAGACAGTAGACAAACACTTTTCTAAAAGTGCAGGAGTATCCTGAAATAAACATTAGGCAATAACAGATTACCTGGTCCAGATGATTTTGTTGAGCAAATGAGAAAAACTCTCTCAGTTTGTAGCTCTCAGTATTACTGAAGTTTAACAGGTAATATACAAGATGAAATCCCACGTAATTTGTAGGGCTACTTAAAACTTCTACTACATTCTACTTAAAACTTTCATATTGTTTTCAACTATTACTTTAGCTTTAGTCCGTATGAAATAAATGATGAACTAATGTAGCTTTTGAGAGGAGTCATATGGGAAGAAGCTAGAACTTGCTCAACTTATTTCATTTACATTTGTTTGATGTTGCATTTCAGGTGAGACTAACTTAAATATTCCCATTTTAAAAACGGCATGCTTTTATAACTCTTTTGGTTGGTAAACCTTATTTGACAATATAAATGAAATCATAATACACCAAGCTGAACTACAATAAAAACCAATAAATGCCCTGCATTTGAAAGATTGTCTAAAACTATCCCAACCATGCATCCATGGTCTGATATAAGATATCACTCATAAAAATCCTTGCCTAATGCTAGCTTTTATGTTTTTACTTAGGATGTGTTTTCCACTACCTTTTAAAATTGTGACAAACTCTTCACTAATCTGCACTCAACTGTGTGATAGCCTGTGCTTGCTGCTCTTGGGCACCCTGTGTATACATACAAGTTTAAAATGAAGACAAGTGTTCACAAACCTCTATACCTGATGAATCAGCACCCAACAAATAAGCTTGCTTGAACTCAGGGTAGTGGAGCCATCCACTTCTTTTGTCTAGGCTGATACATATTTGTTGTTGTTGGTGTTTTTTTAAAACAGTATTAATAAAATATGCAGCCTTGCTGAATCCAGTAATGGTGCATTTAAAAAAAAAATTACCTTGATAAAACAGCAGACTTTATGAAATATCTTCACATCATATAAAAATGTGGATCTTGTATTGCACACATGAAAACATGAACAAGAATAGAATATGGTATGTGTGTTAGTAAAGCAGCGCAGCATACCGTTAAGCAAGATGTGCTATAAGAAAGTAAGAGGTGCTCGAAGCAAAGGCTACTATCACAGTATGACTTACTGGAAGATTTCTTGCTGAATCCAAATACAAAATAAGCAGTGCAGAAGAAAGCCCATCATTGGCTTGGTCTTTGTCAGCTTTAACGCTTGTGAGCGCCTAAAATGAAAGATGCTAAAATGAAATGCAGTAAGCATGTTTTTGTAAATTGAACAGAAATACAAAGTTATTTCTATTCCAAATGCTAGCCCCTCCCCCAATAAATATATACCTGCATATGGTAAGACAGTACCCATGAAATAATCAAATAAAAATGCTCAAGAAAGATAAAAAGCTTGCAATAAATAATACAGTTGATTCATAACAAAAATTATATAAAATATAAGATTAAATATGGTTTCCATATATTCCTGGATACCAATACCTTTGGATGATTTTATAATCATCCTACATTTCTATCCTATAAAATACCTACATTTCTTATGAATTTAGATGCTATTTTTTTTCTGTAAACTTTCTCCCTGTTGCCTAAAAAAGCTTCTGAATTATTTTAAATACAATCATCTGGTGTAAATAAAACAAATATCCAGCACACATTCCATTACCCTACCTCCTATTCTTTCTCTATATATGCAATTTGCTGAATAACAAAACTATTTCCACGGGCAGAAGTTAGTAACCTGTGTACTTATTTCCATATCAAGAAATGTGCAAGTTCTAGTTGTTACCCTGTGAGGTTATTTTACATTTTAGGCAGGTTTTTTAGCATGCTGTTAAGCCCTCAAAATTTAACTGGTGTCAAGTCTTTAATGCCCCCCCTCCCCCCCAACATACATTGGCAGTGTTTCTTATACTTAACAGATGCCACAGAATATATTAAAAAGCCTTTTTTAAAGACAGAATTTGTGCATATTTCCATTCTTGAATCAAGCAGCTTTTGGCATACGATGAATAGCTATTTAGAACTTTCATTAGCCGAGATTTCTGCCTCAAGGAGTACATCAGAAAAAGATCACAAGGCATCAATATCACACTATTATTTACGTTTCAAGGGTGTTGCTTGTAGCCATGTTGGTCTACAGAGATAGGTAGACAAGCCTCTTAGGGTAAATGTGATATCTTTTATTAGACCAACTAAACAGCTAGAAAATTGTTTTTTTGCAAGCTTTTGGGCACAACACCCTTCTTCAGGGATTGGGAGAGTCTGCTCTTGTTTTATGTTCTCTTGGATGGGATAGAAGCCAAAATCCATGTCTCTGAAAATGCGAATGCATGGCAGTGAGGATCAGAGGTGATAGGAGACAATAGGTATGAGACAGGTAGACAGGGGCTGGGAAGGGGAGAATGTTGACCTGATGACAGAACGTAGCTGGTAAAATGTCAAGAGGTTACCTGGGGTTATCAATTGGATGGCAAGTAGGTTATAATGAGCCATAAATCCAATGTCTATATTTAGTTCATGATTTTTTGTACCTAGTAGATTTATAAAGTGAAGTTTGTAGGCTCATCTCCAAAAGCTGTTTCATAAATTCCCTTTGAGGATTAGAACTGAGAGATTGGAGAGAGAGTGGTTGTCTTGTGAGAAGTGTGCACTCGCAGGTAATTGGGTATTTTTGTCTTTGATAGATTTTTGGTGTGTGTTCATTCTAGTCCGCAGTTGTTGTTTGGTTTCTCCTACATATTTTCCATCAGGGCATTTAGTGTACTGGATAAGATGTATTACATATTTGGAGGTGCAGGTGTAAGATCCAGGAATGGTGATGGTTCTGTTGAGGGGTGTAGTTATTCCCACTCCGGCTTCTATTCCATCCAGGAAAACACAAAATAACAGCAGACTCTCCCTATGCCTGATGACAGGTGTTTGTGCCTGAAAGCTTGCAAAGAACAATTTCCCAACTATTTAGTTGGTCTAATAAAAGATATCACATTTACCCAAAGAACCCTGTCACATTATTATTTAAGTATATTTGTTTGAAAGCTGTCATTTAACTCTCTAAACAGGAGATGCAATAACTCTCTTGAAGGAGGGAAGATACAGATGGATCTGTAGAGCAGTGGTTTTCAACCTATTTTCATTTGAGAACCCCTAATAAATTTTGAATGGAAGTGCAGACACCGTTGAATTACACATGTGCATATTCACATATTTGTGATTGATAATAGTCTTGTTTCACAGACCCCTTAGACATAGTCTTTGGATCCCCACAGGTCTGCTGACCACAATTTGAAAACCACTGCCCTAAACCAGAGAATGCTCTGTTTAGATAAATACATTTTTCCCTCTAAAAATTTTCTATAGATCCTAACTTATTTCTTTAACAATGGCAGGTCAAATTCTAAGCTAGGTATGTTGTATTCCCAAACCTTATTTGAGATGAGTTGATCTGCTTTAAGCATAACACTAAGGGCAGCATTCTCTGTGGAAGTTTGAGTTTTCTAACATTTTTTCTTCTTGGAGATCCACCAGCATCAAGAGAGAGAGAGAGAGAGAGAGAGAGAGTGTGTGTGTGTGTGTGTGTGCGTGCGCGCGCGTGTGTGCACAGGACACTGTTTACTACTCATGCCTATATCGTTTAGCATTTGGCTCATCATTTATTTGGTTTATATGCCTCATATCTAAAATTTAAAAAACAACCTATCCAAGATTTATAAATAATAATAATCAGCTTCTATGGGATGGTTAGAAGAGAAGCTTTTACTATGTGGAGTTGTCCTTAAACTGAATTCCAACCATGACCAGTTGCTCAACAGTTATGTACATCTACAGAATCTCTCATATTTCCATAGAGCCTTAAAATAAATTTTAATCTCTGTGGAGTTAGTAGAATAAATCCACAAGGGAATAAATCAAATGCCTGTTGCTACTAAACAGCTAATATCTTGCAATCACAGATTTCCTTTTACCATAGTTTCATGATATTTGTTACTGAAACAACACAGATATATGACATTATATCCCTAGACATAAAACTGAACTGAAAGATTATAAAGTATTAGGGTTAGGAAAAATGGATTTTGCCAATCTTCTTAACTGTAGTGAATTAGCTTATTTAAAACATTAAAAAATAGAAACGATGAAATCAGACTGGGGTAAAGGAACACATTTCCAACTCTTATTACCTTGTCAAGATTCTCAGCAGTTGACATCAATGTGAGCCACTCCAGTTTTAAATGTAATTTTCCTTTGGAGACTTCATCCAGAGTGAACCACTGCCAACACAATAAATTAAGCAAAATGATACCAAGTAGAGTACTACCAAATGATTAGATATACTAAAAATTGGCTATTTTTAAAAAATTGTAAACAGCTTAAGTCGAGAAGAACTACAATCTGCAGAATCTGAAAGGTCCGATAGATTCAGATGTGTTGTGTCCCATAAATCAACTGCTCAGCACTTCAATATCAAATGACCAGCTTCTTAAAAAACAAAACATTTTAAGAAATCTAGATGATCTTCTAAAGTTTTTAAAAGCAGCTCTGGAGGTACAATATAATGTAGCATTATCTTAAGTCCCTATGTTGGATATAGGATAAAAAATTCCACTGCGATTAAAACATTACTTCAGCATAATAGATATAATCTTGATGAGTTCATTATGTTTAACAGTAATTCATATAGACAAAAAATAATTTGGGTTTCTATTTTTTAGAAAAGAAATAAGTAAAACAATTTCTGATACCTTGCTTGTGTTTACCAGTAAAATGAGGCAGGGTCAGTGTCGCAGGGCACAAAGGTGCCTGCTCCTTTAAGGGCAGAAACTGCCTAGAGAGAAGGCCCTAGCAGTCAAGCAGGAACCTCACAGCTGCAGGTTACCATGGCAGCAAGAATGAGGGAATTAGCCTATACCTGACCGGAAGAGGCAGGGCCTGGGGCACATATAAACCCCTGGGCTAGGACTAGAGGGCAGTTCTTTGTCAGCAGCCAAGGGGTAAGGAGCTCTCTTAGAGGAAGCTAAGTAGAGATGCTTGACTACCTGTTCTGCTTCTGGTAGGATTAAGAGGCACCAGAAGCTCACCAGGGACCCTGGCCTGCAAGGCATTTAGTGCTGGGGGGACGGTTTAATGCTTTTAAAGGGACAGAGCACACCCCGAACTGCGTGCATTATGTTATAGCCCAGGGGCCATATTTTGATTGCTGTTTGTAAACTGGTGGATCGGGCTGAGGCTATTGGGGAAGGAGGCCTCATTGGGGGCCCACTACAGTGTGGGGACCCTGGCACCAGTGTGGGCACCATGACAAGGGGGTGAGCAGACCCTGGCGACAGTGTGGGCGCCGTGGCAGGGGGGTGAGCAGACTCCGGTGCCAGAGAGGGCGTAGTTTCTGAGGCCGGATTAAGTTGAGGCCTCAGCACAAGGAGATAACATTTATATAACATCTGCGAGGCATGGGGCATGATAAAGGGGCAGTTTTGGAGTCACAAATCTAGCCCATAAGGCTGGGGGAGTACCGTAAGACCCCTCCCGAGTGTGGGGTCTAATAAAGGGGTCCAGTAACTGACAGGGTTTAGGGGAGACTGTCAGGACTGTGACTGAGCAGCAATTCAAGGGCAGCCTCCCAATCCATCATTCATAACAACAAGACATGGCAGGAAAGATTAGTAGGTGCCCACAGGGCGGAGCCAGCATGGTCACGGTGCCCTAGGGACATCACAGCCATCCCAGGGGTGGCTGTATTGTGACAGTCAGATAAAAGTAGAAGGGCTTCATTCTGTATCTTTCATTCATTCAAATAGCTTCTATTTTTGTAAGTAAACCCATTGAGGTCTTTAAAAAAAAATTCAATATGACTAAGCACAGTACTGAGGTTAATTCATACATGTAAGGTATGCCATGTTGGTCTACATGAAAAGGTGAGTAAAAAAATGAGTCCATAGCACATCTTAAACAGTAACAGACTCACCTCGTCTAGAAAACGCTCCTTCTCAACTTCAATTAGATCTATCATTAGGCTAAAAAGAGAACAGTACTTTAGAGGGGAATAACAAAACCTAGAACAGGACTTAAAAAGAAAACATTTACCCTGATGAGTTCAAGTTTTCCAACAGACTTTCAGTCTTTTTAAACTGTAATTCATATAACATTTTTACCCACATGCCATGCATTTTCTCCAAATTTGGGGCACTGATTATAGGCAGTGAAGCTGATTATTCTTTGCTGAAGCAAGCATGGAGTTGCTGCTACAAGATGGCCACAAGCTTCTCTTTTAGGCAGAAGCATGGGGGGCAGAGTCCCATGTTAACGCTTTCTAGCTGCTCTCCAAGGAAAACAGTTTTTGGCTGAGCAGCTGGAGAGCTGGTAACACTGGCCTCCATCCCTACTGCTTGCTATTTCAAAAGGAAGCTAGCAGCCACCTTGCTGAGCTGCTTGTCTAGCTCTACAACGTATCTCTAGACAAATAATTTTCTAGATTCTGCCCTCCAAAAATAAGACACCTTTTTATTTCTGAGGTGAGCGGTATGCAAGAAAATATGGGAGTATATTTTACAAAACCCCTCATAAATATGCAAGAAATTTAAACAGTCAAAAACAGTTTTTTTCTTTTTAGAAAGAGATCTTCTGTGGCATTTACCTTCCCAGAAAATCATCTTTGTCTGGGTCTTCATCAAAGAGCTCAATCTCCAACTCCTGTCCTGGGTGTTCATACACTAAAGCCTAGAAGCATAATCCTTATTAGTTTATAAAAACATAAGAACTTGCCCAGTAGCCTTTATCACACAGTAGCAGAGTCAATGCTGAACTGGTTAGGACCAGGATTTTTTCTGCTGTTCCTTGCTCACTTGTAGCCTCCAGCATTTAAGGTCTAAGAAGTTCTGATTCAGAGGCTGTGCCCTTAACTCCCACGGTCAATAGCTACTAATGCACCTTTTTCTCCAAGCATTTGTCCAATCCCTTTTTGAATCTGGCTAAACTCTCTGCTTCCACAACATCTTGTGACAATGAGCTCCACACTTTAATTACATGTTGTGTGAAAAAGAACTCCCTTTTATTAGTTTTCAACTCACTACCTATGAGTTTCATTTTATGACTCCTAGTTCTTATATATAACCTGTACCACTGAGTTTACCTAGTGAATTCTGCAATATAAACAGAGCAATAATGAAACACTCTGAACCACAGCATTGCTAAGGGTTTGTCAACATAAAATAAAATTAATTCATAAATATTTCACCTGAATTTGAGACCAAGTCAAATTTGTAAGCTGGCTGGACACTAGATACTAAGGACTGAACACCAATATTGATTTTTATGACACACTATAATTTACCTGATTCCTGAAATTCTTCCCCCACACTACAGGCTATAATGATCTTCCTCCCCTTTTGGTACTTCTTGATCTCCCAGTAATCACTTTTCTTTTCTTCTGCTGTTAGTCTGCTAATCCTGAGAATTTCTCCCCCTCCAATTTAACAGCTCTAGCCACTGTTCTTAACAATCACTGTGCTTGCTTTCCTCCTCAGACCTAAAAAATGGCCTGCATTTGAAAGCTGTCTAACTTTATCGCAACTATGCAGCTGGTCCAATGAAAGTTATCACCCCCCCCAAAATTCTTGCCTGTTGCATAGAACTATTTTGGCATTTAAATGCTGGGAATGAGTGGCACTAATATCCTAGCAGCATTAGAAATTGCATGCAAAGTTCGGATGAAGTCTAGATGAAACCTCAGAATTTTCTGGCTTTAGACAAACATAATTAAAATGAACTGCCTGTTTCTGTGTATGCAAATATGTATGCTACAGCATTGCATCCTAATTTAACACTATTTCACTTTTAAAGTAGATAAAAATTGCTACTTTTGTATACACTGAAGGCAAAATATAAAACAACAAATATTCCTCTCAAGGAATGGGATTCATCTGGTCTACTCTGACATTCATACTATTTATTAATATATTTTAACAGAACATCCAGAATTGATTTTTAGAAATACTGAGACTAAGCCCACAACAAACAGAACAATCAATAAAGCATTTCCAAAACAATAACTAGGATTTTAGCAGATGACATCCAGAAGTTTCTTTAGGAAATCAACATAGTATTTTCCATCAGCCTGAAAAAGGTACCTCAGTAGAAAACAACTTTATATTGCGTATGTGCATGAAGTATATGTGTATAATACATCTTCCCATGGTTTGTACCTCATAAACTTCATTCCATTTTGGATTCAGATTTTCTTTGATGACCTTGCTTTGGAAGATCTGGTTGCCAACACGAACGATTCCATAAGGGTCTGACTTTCCTTTGACAATTCCTTTTAAATATGTATCTTTCCCTTCCAGATCCTGAGCTTCAATAAAGTGTATCCTTACAACACCCTGAGCAAAGCAAGAAAAACAGTTTACCTACTGATCTAAAAATCTAGGTTTGTTAATATTTTGAATAGCAGTTTCTTTAAACTCTTTTAAAAATGTCCATTATTATTCCATCAAGAATAAAACTTTCATTTGTCTTTTCAAACATTTATATAGCAATAAATAATTTTATCAACCTAAAAAAGCAAGAGAGAGACAGAGAGACAGAGAGAGAGAGAAAAGAAACCACTATTTTGAGGGTCAGGATAATTAAAATACTAATTGTACTTTTTGTAATGCCAGTCTGCAAGAGCTTATATATGGGACCCAGGAGAAGATGTATAACCAGATCTTCCCCCATACATCTTTGGGAGGAGAAAGGGGGCAGTGATTTCTCCCTTTGGCACTTAGCCGTGACATGAAGAAATTTCATCTTTGGCATGAAATAAAATCCAAGCTGCAATGTAGTAAGCGTATTACTGTTACCAGCAGATGCGTCAAAGCTAATGTCCAGTTTTTCCACTGAAACTATGCACAGCACATTTTATTCTTAGTTCTTTAAGAGAAAACCATGAGCAATGCAGTCAGGTATAGATTTGGAGTCCAACTTACAGTTGTCAAACATTAACTCTTTACAAACTTTCTAAATGGAAATTTAACATAAAGTAACTTCTGTTGCATATTGAAGCAAGAGAGATATACATAAATAGATAAACGTTTGTCTTGAAAAAAAGTGCTTACCTTTGGTATAGGGAACCGCAACTGAGCAAGTTGCACTTCACTGACCAATGGGACTGTGATTCGATTTGGAAGCACCAGGTAGTTTGATATTATATCCAATATAATTGTATCTGATAAGCCACTGTTGGAGAAAACATATCTATTATCTAACAAGACAAATCATTTTTAGAAATATTCTATTAAATATTAACATACTGAAGTTGCTTGAACATGAATACCTGGCATCCTCTCAACAAAAAATTCCACCACAAAAATAATCACTCTTAAAATACTAATGTATTGCATGCAAAAATACTATACTGAGCCTAATTAAAAACACTGTGCTTTAGACCATTATTGTAGCCTTTTTATTTACAACTCTAGGCTTAAGAAAACAATGAATTTAACATCCGTTAATATGGAATATCTTCAAGGAAAAATTCTGTGAATAGTAGAAAAATGTTTTTAAAAAAGCACATTCAGTATTTATTTCCTACATGAGTCTGGGCCTTTTTTTGTTGCTCACCAACTTAGCTACTAGGCAGCAGTGCACCTCTTTCCTGTGGAAGTTTTCAGAGTAGTTTTCCTTTCACTTATGTTCTTCCCAATATTTTTCACTTCAAATGGCCACCAGGTGGAAGCAAGAGATCCAAAACAGTGGGTAAGACCTAAAATGTGTATATACTTCATCTCTTTCCCCTAACAAGTATAAATAACCTGCACCTCTGCAAGCACCATCCAGAATAAATGGCTACTGAATAAAGTATAAGTCTGTTATCTCCATTACTTATTGATGAAGCATATGTTTACTGTTCTGTTTTAGTTTTTAAGTGTTCTTGTCATGATCTAAGTGCTTTTAAAAGTAAGTTCAGCCATTATTCGATAGTAACAAACCCAGCTGTCATTTGCATGAGTTCAGAACAATTAGCAGGATTTTCATTAAAGAAAAGAAATTGTTTTGTGTAAAAGAATGAAGGATAGCTTGAGGCAGGCAGAAAACTGATGTTTTACTTGCAAGGGAGAGTGGCACTACACCGGTTAGGAATCATTAACAAAACTCTCCTAAAATATTCTGATGAGACAGTATTAAGCTTTGAGTAAAACTGGCATACTTTGGGGAAACCATGGTCTCACTAGCAAAAAATTGGACAGAATTCACCACTGGTGTAGCAGGGTATGAGAGTCTGCAGTAGCATTAAATGGCACAAAAGAGTAAAAATACCCGAGCCTTTTCTAAACTACATCTTCACTAGTGGTAAACTGAGGATTTCAAGTTTTGCCAATTTATGTGCCTGAAAGATGCTATTTTAAAGTCTCAGTGTAGACAGGGCTTAAGATATAAATAATAGTTTCAGTAGAACAAAGGTCTGGCGACTCACAGCATTACACACAATATTACCAATTAGTTTAATCAATTAGTAAAGTTTCCTAAAATCGAATCTGTACTCAGGAATAGTACTGATTCAGCATTTGGCATAATTGGACCAGTTCTGGTTGCTATGGATCGATAAAGTCAAGCCAGCATTTACAATGACTGAACTAACCAAGGGATAAATCCTGGAATTCCCTTCTGTGCAGTGTACTAACTTGTCCAAGTGCGGAATTGGGGCTATTTTCACATGCTGACAAGGCCCAAATCATATGCTTTTAATTACGTCTCCCCATTTGGATAAAGAGTTTGTAATTGGCAAACAACAATCACCTCTCTGCCACTGGAACACACATATTACAGTAGTCAGTTCAGTCACTCTTATCTCACGCAAAACCAGCCATCTTTTGTCATACACCTGGATCGTCACTAGTGCAAAACTGGACAGTCACACCACTGCCCACACACATAACCTCAGAATTGTATTTCTCTGCTAACACATTTAAATCTAAAGACAACTGCAACATCACAACATTTTATCTGAAGCAAAAACACAGAACTGAGATCCTAGCACTATTATTCCTAGCTTTGGCTGGATTACTTTCAATCACTTTATTAATAATTGTATTATTTTTCTTGAATTGCTGAACTAAGTATCTAAATAAGATGAACTTTAATGCTACTATTTAAAGACTTTGTCCTCATGCCTCCAATACTTTTTCTCCATCAATGAGCAAATTAACTAAAGGATTACCCCCTCTCAGCCCCGTCCGTAGGCACAATGATCTCTACCAGAAATCTGAGCTCCAATTTGAAGCGGTAGGGGTGGTCATGTAATAAAACTGATCTTTAAAGCATCTTAGGGAAATGTTTTTATCTCTGTTGTGCTGGTGGTATATAAATCTCTATAAAAGGACTAAAGCTAGACATTTGTGACATTTTAGCCAATAATAATAACATGTTATCCAACTCAAGCAAAGCAAGGCAAAAAAATATATAATGGCGAGAGTGCGACAGGGGTGTGTGATTACACAGTTAACTGTAATGGGTAGAGATTTACTGGTTAACCTCAACTATTTACCATTCTGAGCTTGGGCCTGTTGAACTGAGACAAAACTGGAATTGCTACATTTTTCTTTACTCCAAGAATATTTACCTAGGTAAAGAGAATGCAAGAAAGCCTTCTGTCTTGTGCCAAATTATTCATTACTTCGGACTGCAAAATATGCCATATATTTACTGAAACAGTTTAAGTTCGTATAACAAGCCAATATGCAGTCCTTGCTATAAAAAACCCATCATTTGCTGACAATCATTCCATCATATTTCCCCTATACCTCAAATAAGAAACAAACTGTATGAGGGGAAAGTATTTCTTAGGATAATATATCTTTTATTGGACCAACTACATAGTTGGAATAGAGTTAGACAAGCTTTTGAATGCAAGACATGCTTCATCAGGTCTGAGCAGTAAAAGCAGTAATTATAGCATCTGTTAAAATATGACTGATTTAGCAGCACTAACCTAATTGCTGTCATAGGGAGTCAGGAACTGCAAGTCTGTCTCAGAATTGTACTCTGAGAGTGGCCAGCTGTAGATGGTTTAAACGTATTGCAAGAAAACTCATAGGGGACAATTATGAAGTATCTTGCCCAGTAGTGAAGTTTCTTCCTAACGCCCATCAGTTACTGATTCATATTTACCATGAATCATAGAAAATGAGGCTCAGGAAATCATTTAGTCTAACTCTCTGTTCAAGACTAGATATTAGGAACATTTTCTAACTATAAAATAGTTTAGACAGGAATAATTCAACCTTGCTGCAATTTTAGCACATTACTGCCTGTCCTTTGACACAGAACAAATACTGATCATTATTGTTTTTAACATACTTTCTGTATTTAAAGACCTATCAAATTCCCATTTAGTCGTCTCTTTACATTAAATAACAATTAATGCAATTAATCTGTTAATTGACATACTGCTGCACACTGGAGGAATTAAATGGCATGACAAAATGTGGAATATTTTTGTGGCTGTTTTCCTAAAATATGCACAATATTTTTGTGGCTAGTTTCCATCACAGCTTAAACAGCACTTGGTATGTATAGTGGCATTTCATTTTAATTGTGGAAAAAAACTGATTTGGGGGGTTTTAAATCATAGAATTTGCAGGGTTTTTAATCAAAAAATTCAATTTTTAAACAGAGAAAACCAGGATTCCTGGTTATCAGGGAGCCGGTGCTCTTT